CCTCTTATAGCCCAGGCTGGAGTGCAGTGGTGTGATCTCCATTCACTGCAACCTCCACCTCCAGGGTTCAAGCAATTCTCCAGTCTCAGCCTTGCGAGTATCTGGGATTACAGGCGTGGGCCACCACGCTCAGCTAATTTTTGCATTTTAGTAGAGACATGGTTTAGCCATGTTGGCCAGGCTGGTCTTGAACTACTGACCTCAGGTGATCCACCTAACTCGGCCTCCCAAAGTGCTGGGATTACAGGTGTGAGCCACCGCACCCAGCCCCCACTCAAAATAATGTTTTTCTTGATACAAATTTGGTTTTGGGGGATTGTCTTAGTCTGTTTGGGCTACTTTAACAAAAAGTCCCATAGACTGGATGGTTTCAACAACAAATCTTTACTTCTCACAGCTCCGGGACTGGGAAGCCCACGATGAAGGTGCTGGCAGATTGGTGCCTGGTGAGGGCTCTCTTCCTGGTTCACTGACTGCCAGCTTCTCCCTGAGTCCTCACATGGCAGAACTGGTGAGGCAGCACATGGGGAGTTAGGATTTTTACATATGAATCTGGTGGGGGACACAAACATTCAGACAATTCCAGACATCTGTATCTTCCAGAGCCCTGCAAGGAGGAGCTGCAATGGCCACTTTATTTATGCAGCAGTCACTGCTGAAAACCCAGGTTCACCCACACCTGTGGATGGAGAGGGAAGCAAGGCTCCTCATGCCCTCGTCATGCTCTTTGTGCGTAGCAGCCTCCAGGTCTCCAGTGGTTTCTGTGGGGCAGGCAGTCCAGGGGCCCTCATGTGGGCAGCCGATCACTCACCGGGGTAGCCCGACTTCAGGCTCCAGTCACCACCCAGCGGTGGGAAAATCACCTTCAAAGGTGCTGTGAGCAGGTGAACGTCACAGACCCACACGAGAGCATGGGTTGGCCTTGGGAACTGCCGCTCTGTCCGTTAATAACCCAGTAGGTTAACGGGATAGGCCTAAACTACTTTTGCCAGATACCTGGATCTCTCTAAAAAAAGATCCTGTTGATACCAGTCTCTCAATCCTTTTAGAAATACAGAATTGGCCAGGCACAGTGGCTCACACCTGTAATCCCAGCACTTTGGGAGGCCGAGAGGTAGGTAGATCACCTGAGGTCAGGAGTTCAAGACCAGCCTGACCAACATGGTGAAACCCCATCTCTACTAAAAATACAAAAAATTAGCTGAGTGTGGTGGCAGGTACCTGTAATCCCAGCTACTTAGGAGTTTGAAGCAGGAGAATCGCTTGGACCTAGGAGGCAGAGGTTGCAGTGAGCCGAGATCTCACCACTGCACTCCAGCCTGGGCAACAGAGCAAGACCATCTCAAAAAAACAAAAAAAGAAAGAAAGAAAAGAAGAAATACAGAATCAAATGCCCTACCAGAGGACAAATGAATCTGAATCTTGCTTTTTTTGAGATAGGGCCTCTCTCTCACCCAGGCTGGAGTGCAATGGTGCAATTATATTACAAAATAGCTCACTGCAGCTCCGACACCCACCCCCACCAACCCTGGAGCTCAAGAGATCCTCTCGCCCCAGCCTCCTGAGTAGCTGGGACTGCGGGCTTGTGTCCCCACGCCCAGTTAATTTTTAAATTTTTTGTAGAGACAGGGTCCCCCTGTGTTGCCCAGGCTGGTCTCAAACTCCTGGGCTTCAGTGATCCTCCTGCCTCAGCCTCCCAAAGTGCTGGGTTTACAGGCACGAGCCATTGCCCCTGGCCTGAACTTTGCATTTTAATAAGATCCCAGGCAACCTGTACCCACGTTCAAGGTTGGGAAGGACTGGCCTATATCTTTCATTGTATGTGTATTTTTAAATACATGTTTTTATTAAAACATAACACACATACAGAACCATTTGGTAAATTATCACAAAGTGAATCCATTGAGCCACCCAGCCCCCAGATTAAGAAATCGATTAGGGTTAGGGTTAATAGCTCCCTAGAAGTTCTCTTTCCCAGATACTCATCCCCAACCCTGGTCCCCAAAGGTAACCAATATTCTCACTTCTAACAGCGTAAGTTAATTTGATCCACATTTGTTCTTCATATACATGGAATCATACTGTACATCTTTATGGTGCCTGACGGTTCTTGTTTGTGAGATTCAAAATCCCTCACTAAGAACCCCAGCTCATATAGTTCATACTGCTCTCTCCCGAGTCTTCCATCTCCAGAAAACTGTAAAGTTAAGGAAAGCCCATTTTAACCAAATAAATATTTAGCAAGCACTCACACTGTGCCAGGATTGTAGGGGGGCTGAACCCCAAAATGTGTTGCCAAATTGAGAGTTCCATTTCACGTGAAGCATTTCGCCTAAGTAGTTTTCAGGGATATGGAAGATTCACATTGGTATGTGAATTCAATCTCTGAAAGGAATTTATTACCTGCCCTAAAAAACACCCTGAAGTGCAGTTTAGCACACAGCTACCAAGTGATAGCAGGCTTCTCCTGTATGTCTTTAGAACACATCATAAAATCTAGTTCCCAGGAGCTTCTGTCTGGATGATTTCTACTTTTCTTCAAATCTCATTTGTTTAAATATTGAGATTCTCTCAGATAAAAGTTGTAACTCTCTCAGAAAGCCCTTGATGCTTGTTCTTCTCAGGGCTTCCAGAAATAAATGACGCACAGATACTGTCCTAACTGATGGTTGTAGCACTTAAGCCCTCTTGTTTAATTGTTTAAGTTTTTTTTTTTTTTTGAGACAGAGTCTCACTCTGTCACCAAGGCTGGAGTGCAGTGGTGCCATCTCAGCTCACTGCAACCTCCGCCTCCTGAGTTCAAGCAATTTTCCTGCCTCAGCCTCCCAAGTAGCTGAGATTACAGGCACCTGCCACCATGCCCGGCTAATTTTTATATTTTTAGTAGAGATGGGGTTTCACCATGTTGGCCAGGATGGTCTCGAACTCCTGACCTCATGATCCACCCACCTCAGCCTCCCAAAGTGCTGTGATTACGGGCATGCGCACTGCACCTGGCCAATTGTTTAATTTTTAAAATTTTAAAATACTTTTCAGACAAGGTCTTGCTCTGTTGCCTAGGCTGGAGGGCAGTGGTGTGATCCTGGCTCACTGCAACCTCAGTATCCAGCGTTCAAGTGATCCTCCCACCTCTCAGCCTTCCCAATAGCTGGGACTACAGATGTGTGCCACCACACCTGGCTAATTTTTGTGTTTTTTGTAGAGACAGGGTTTGGACATGTTCCTCAAGCTGGTCTTGAACTCCTGGGCTTAAATAATCCACCCACCTCCATCTCCCAAAATGATGGGATTACAGGCATGGGCCACCGTGCCTGGCCCTCTTGTTTAATTTGTTCACTGTTGGCATGGCTATGAGACCAACAGTCAGTCACCTTTCTGGGCCTTGATTTTCTCATCTCTAAAAAGGAGGAAATGTACTACATCAGAGGTTTCTCACCTGAAATCCCTGGATCTGCCAAGTAATCCATTAATCCCCGGAAATTATATGGAAGATTATGCATGTGTGTTTTTGAGGGGGAAGGGAGTCCAGAGTAACCCCTGCACCCCCTTCCACCAAATTAAATACCATCATGTTCAGTAATCCCCAACAATTTTTTGTTTGTTTGTTTTTGAGACAGAGCCTCCCTCCATCATCCAGGCTGGAGTTCAGTGGCGCGATCTTGGCTCACCGCAGCCTCCGCCTCGCAGTCCAAGCAATTCTCCTGCCTCAGCCTGCCTCAGCCTCCCAAGTAGCCGGGATTACAGGCGCCCACCACCACACCTGGCTAATTTTTGTATTTTTAGTACAGATGGAGTTTCAACATGTTGGCCAGGCTGGTCTCGATCTCCTGACCTCCTGACCTCAAGTGATGCGCCTGCCTTGGCCTCCCAAACTGCGGGGATTACAGGTGTGAGCCCCCGCGTCCAGCGCCCAAGAACATTTTTTAGCACTATCATTCCGCAATCACGTGGCTACTTGCATTGGCTGCAGAGCTTCATTTTTTGCTAAGTGTCTTGTTCTAGCTGAATCTTAAGAAAAGGTGATTCGCTTTGCCTTTTTCCTTCCATAAGTTTTTCTGCCCTAACAGAAAGAATACTGTAAAAGTGCAGCACCTCTTAATAGCATCCACCTCTGATCTCTGCAGGGGAGGGTCATTTCATTTGAAATAGCAAGGTCCCGAATCACATCCGTCAGTTTTCATATGACCTCAATCCGGGTCCTATTGTACTTGGCTGGCTTGTTTTCTAAATGCTGTAGCTATTCTAGCCCTCAGAACGTGTCTGCAGGTCTGGTTCTCATAACCAAATGGATGGGAGATGGGAGCATACCAATATATCGGAACAATTCAACAATCCAATTTTCTCTACACAGAGAAACAGCTCTGCAGCAGCCCGGAATGGCTATACCTGCCAGGTTTGCCTAATTGGACATGGGTGCTAGCCCATCACCTAAGCAAAGGAGGGAAGCAGAACTCCCTGCCTGTCATGTCCAGAGCTCGTTAGTTCCCACACAGTGATATTAAGTTACAGATTTTCTGTGTGCTGGTTCCCTGGCCGTACCCTAGCAACAAGTTGAGCCACAGTTTTCATTACAAACTGCCTTGGTCAGTATAATGGAACCATCTTATATTTCTTCCAGAGAGCAAAACATACTAGACTCTTAAAGTGTTCTTAATAATTGGCTTTACCGCAGATGAAACTGCTTTCAGAACTCAACCTCTTCCTAAAATATGTATTTCTCTGTTCTTAATTCACTGAAGAAATAGAGCTCCATGGCCAGGCACAGTGGCCGGGCGCAGCGCTGGTAATCCCAGCACTTTGGGAGGCCAAGGCAAGTGGATCACCTGAGGTCAGGAGTTAGAGACGAGGCTGACCAATATGGTGAAGCCCCATCTCTACTAAAATTATAAAAAATTAGCTGGGCTTGGTGGTACATGCCTGTAGTCCCAGCTACTTGTGGGGCTGGGGCAGGAGAATCTCTTGAACCTAGGAAGCGGAGGTTGCAGTAAGCTGAGATCGTGCCAGTGCACCCCAGCCTGACACAGCAAGATTCTGTCTCAAAAAGAAAAGAAAAAAGACAAGAAATAGAGCTCCATGATCAACCCTCATGACTTCAAGTGTGACTCATAAACCAACCACAGCAGCGTCACTCGGAGCTTGCTAGAAATAGAAACATCTCAGCCCTATTCTAGTCTGCCTGGGTGAGAATCTACGCTTTAACCACATCTCCAGGTGACTCCCAAAGGTAAGCACATGCAAATTCAAAAAGTACTCCAGAGAAATCACCCAATGCCCCACTAGTAGAGAGTATCTGCCTTACATCTGTGACCTTCTAGCAAGTAATACGTGATCACTAAATGTGACCCTTTTTCCTTCTCCCTTAAAACCCAGGGCACCACCAGAGAAGCTTAAAGGGAGGAAGAGAAGGAGACACAGGCCCAGAAGATGAAGAACTCAAAGAGAAAAGAGAGAAGGAATAATGAAGATGGAAGAGTGAAAAATCAAAGGGCTTAGGGTGGCCTTCAGAGCCTCCCCATAAAGTGTTCTAGGCCTTCAGGGTGTTCTCCATAGTCGCATGCTGTCTCCTAGAGTTACCTAGCTAATAGTTTTTAAATATGACTCACTTTTTAACTTTGATGACTTTTGAAAAGGATGTGCACGTCTCAGGTCTTATGTGCATGTTATAATTTTTCTTTTTGAGACAGGGTCTCACTCTGTTGCCCCAGCTGGAGTGCAGTGGCTCTATCTCAGCTCATGACAACCTCTGCCCCCGCAGGCTCAAGCCATCCTCCCACCTCAGCCTCCTAAGTAGCTGTGACTACAGGTGTGCGCCACTACATCTGGCTAATTTTTGTGCTTTTGTAAAGCCAGGGTTTTGCCATGTGGTCCAGGCTGGTCTTGAACTCCTGGGCTCAAGTTACCGCCCACTTCGCCCTCCCAAAGTGCTGGGATTACAGGTATGAGCCACCAGGCCCAGCCGTATTTTTTCTAATACACATAGATTCACGGCTATTAATATTTTGTTAAGTGTTGTTTGCAACCACTACAGATGATCCCTGGGGACACCTGCTCTGGAAGAATGATAGTCCAAGTGGTGCAGGAAGTCCTCTGAGAGCTGGCACAAAATGTACAAGGTTGGTTCTGTATCTTTTTTTTGAGATGGAGTCTCCCTCTGTCACCAAGGCTGGAGTGCAATGGCACGATCTCGGTTTACTGCAACCTCTGCCTCCCAGGTTCAAGCGATCTTCCTGCCTCAGTCTCCCAAGTAGCTGGGATTATAGGCATCTGCCGCCACATCCAGGTAATTTTTGTATTTTTAGTAGAGATGGGATTTCACCATGTTGGTGAAACCACCAGGCTGGTCTCGAACTCCTGACCTCAGATGATCCACCCACCTCGGCCTTCCAAAGTGCTGGGATTACAAGTGTGAGCCGCCGTGCCCAGCCTTTATGTTTCCTTTTTTTTCTTTTTGAGACAGAGTCTTGCTCTGTCACCCAGGCTGGAATGCAGTGACATGATCACAGCTCACTGCAGCCTCGACCTCCAACCCTGCCTCCCAAGTAGCTAGGACCACAGGTATGCACAACCATGGCTGGCCAGTTTTTTTTTTTCCAGTAGAGACGGAGTCTCCTTATCTTGCCCAGGCTGGTCTTGAACTCCTGGACTCAAGCGATCCTCCTGCCTTCGTCTCCCAAAGGGCTGAAACTACAGGCATGAACCACTGCACCAGGCTGAGGTTCGTATTATTTTCTCATGTGTCTAAACTGCATTGCAGGACACAAGGATGTGGCATAATGATTGTTATTCAGGCAAGTTAAAGCAGCTATCCACTGCCGACCAGGAGGACCGCTCACACAGAACCTGCTTAAGGGCAGTGGCAAGAACTTGGGATAGTGACCGTAGATTAGGCAGAGCAAAGTGGCTCACACCTGTAATCCCAGCATATTGGGGGACTGAGGTGGGCGGATCACTCGGGGTCCAGAGTTCAAGATCAGCCTGGTCAACATGGTGAAACCCTGTCTCTACTAAAAATACAAAAATTAGCTGGGCATAATGCCTGTAATCCCAGCTACTCAGGAGCTGAGGCAGAAGAATGGCTTGAACCCACGAGGCAGAAGCTGCAGTGAGCCACAATTATGCGACCGCACTCCAGCCTGAGTGACAGAGTGAGACTCCGTCTCTAAATAAATAAATAAAAGGTTGTAGACTACCAAGCAAATGTTTGCTTAATACTGTAAGTTAACATAAGGCACATGGGTTAGGTTGGCCAGACTCCTCACTACAACAGCCATCCAAGACCATAATCTGGGCTCACAGCATGGATCTAAAAGAAGCAAGTGGCCCTCATCTGGATGTTGGTTGGCCTGAAGGAGTCTGGGGGCCTCTGATCTCCTCCAAGTCATCGCCACGCTTTCCTTCACTTAGCGGCTGGCCTCCACAGAGATGTCAGCAATTCGTAGAAACGGTTCTTCTCTCTCTCTCTCTCTTTTTTTTTTGAGACAAAGTTTCATTCTTGTTGCCCAAGCTTGGGTCCAATGGTACAATCTCGGCTCACCATAACCTCTGCCTCCCGGGTTCAAGCGATTCTCCTGCCTCAGCCTCCTAAGTAGCTGAGATTACAGGCACACGCCACCACACCTGGCTAATTTTGTATTTTTAGTAGAGACGGGTTTTCTCCGTATTGGTCAGTCTGGTCTTGAACTCCTGACCTCAGGTGATCCGCCTGCCTTGGCCTCCCAAAGTGCTGGGATTGCAGGTCTGAGCCACCATACCTGGCCAGTTCTTCCCTTTATCCTTTGAGAAAAGGGACATGCGAAATAAGACAAACATTTTCTAGTGTGAACAGACTGAGGTGTTACTTTAAAAAAAACAAAACAAAACATGGAGCAACTAAAAAGTCCAATGCAAAACAGAAAATAACAAAGAGGTCAGAAAGTAACACCGGAAAAGAAAGTAGCAATGATTTAAATATGCGCATGAACAGCAGTTCACAGGAAGGGAACAGGGTTTCCATATACGGAAAGGTGAGTGTCTTAGTCTCTTCCATCTCCACCGAGAGCACAGCTTCAAAGGAACAGACTCAAATCATCAGAAGGGCTAAAAAGAACAACTTTGACTTGTTAGGGATATGACTCTGATCCAAACTAACAAAGGAAATAATGTGCTCGCCTTGGAAAATCTTTTTTTTTTTTCATGATAGCTTTAAAAAAAAAAAAAATCCTGGCTGTACTGTGGGCTAGGGGCGGGTTCTGGCTGGACGTCAGGAGGAGAGTCTACGGTGTCTTTCAATCGGTTATAAAAAGCTCCTAGGACCTCATTCCAGTCTTTTCTAACAGTACAATTAATTCTATTGCATTAAATATTGCCTGTGGTAAGTGGGCCATCAATGAACCTGAGTCTTTCTGTTATTTCTGTTTCTGTGCTTTGAAGAAAAGGGTCCTCTCACAGAGCTCTTTGTAAACAGACTTTCTGCCAGTTGTATAGAGTAGATTAATTGTACTATAGAAGGAAGGAGGACTTGCAATGTAAAGTGATTCTATGGTGCGCTGTACTGTAAAAATGAGAGTCTGCTGTAAATGTGGGTTTTTGAAAAGCAAAATAGAAGAGCCCATGCCAGGTAAAAGAATGAATTCCCATCACACATAGGCTAGAGAAGCAGGGCAGCTGGCAGGTGCCCCATGCACATAAAGCTGTTAGCACCATGCCCAGCCCTTAGGACTCAAGCAACACATGGATGCTCTTGAAATACTGTCAGCCTGTTTGGATACTGTTATCTTCCTATTCTCCCACATCTACGTAAGTACCAGCGATGACGGAGGATTAAGATTTCATCTAGTGTTCATCAATCTCTTAAATCTCTGTTCAGGAACTGACAGTGGTTCAAATCCCAGCTCTCAGCCGGGTGCGGCGGCTCATGCCTGTAATCCCAGTATTTTAGGAAGCCAAGGCGGGTGGATTACTTGAGGCTAGGAGTTTGAGACTCGCCTGGCCAACATGGTGAAACCCTGTCTCTACCAAAAATACAAATATTAGCTGGGCATGGTGGCGGGCGCCTGTAATCCCAGCCACTCGGGAGGCTGAGGCAGGAGAATCACTTGAACCTAGGAGGCAGAGGTTGCAGTGAGCTGAGATCATGCCATTGCACTCCAACCTAGGTGACAAGAGCAAACCTCCATCTCAAAAAGAAAAAGAAAAATCCCTGGCCAGGTGCAGTGGCTGATGCCTGTAATCCTAGCACTTTGGGAGGCCGAGGCAGGTGGATCACGAGGTCAGGAGAGTGAGACCATCCTGGCCAACATGGTGAAACGCTGTCTCCACTAAAAATACAAGAATTAACCAGGCATGGTGGTGGGTGCCCTGTAGTCCCAGCTACTCAGGAGGCTAAGGCAAGAGAATTGCTTGAACCCGGGAGGCGGAGGTTGCAGTGAGCCGAGATCACGCCATCGCACTCCAGCCTTGGTGACAGAGCAAGACTCTGTCTCAAAAATAAATAAATAAATAAATAAATACAAATAAAAATCCCAGCTACCCACACCAGCAGCCAAAGCTCTCTCCAGCTGCCCGCAACCCCCGCCCTCCTCTCTCTACTTGGGTCAAGCCAACCTCCTCCCTATCCTCTGCAAAACTTCAGTTCCTCCCTGCTCCTGTCTTTTCCACACTCCTGGGAGCAAAGAGATGAAAACAGATGAGTTGCAAATGACTCCTATGGATTGGAGCTGAAATGTAGGTTGAAGATAACTGTGGAGAGAATACAGGCAAACAAAGCCCCAAATCCAGCCCCTTCTCTTCAGCTTTCTGCTCCCTCCAACCTCCTCTGGAAAGTTCTCAGCAGTAAACAGCTCAGAGGGTTCAGGAAGTATGAGGAGCTTGCATTTTTTCCATGAAACTCTTCAAACAGTCATATGAAAATACATTTGCAATTATCAGACATCCGGGTTACTCAAATAACATTATATATATATCAAGTACCATTTAATACAGAAGTCAGATTGTATTGCTTTTGGTCAAAGGCCAGTGTGAGATTAAAGAGCAAAAAACAACACAATGTAACCTGGAGTCAGAGTCAGAGATTGCAAAGGAAATTTCAAAGGAGGAATTATTTCTGGGTCAATTTAACTATGGAGTCTAAAACAACTTTAGCAGCCAGCTCAGAAGATAAACTCTAAATGTGCATGTCTGTGTCAAAGAGTAAGAAACTAGCTTTTTCTGAAACATTTCTTAAATGAATACGCATTAGAATTATCC